CATCCTTAGTGGTTCGCGCAATTGACATCATGCGCAGTTTGGCCCAAAATTTCTTTTCCCATCATCTGTCCAGCACGGCATTGGCATATCCCGCACAATGATGAGGCTACCGACTCGGATACCCCTTAGATTGGCCCCGCGGCTATTTCCAGTTCCAGCACACGTCCGATTAATACACTCGACGACCACGAGGACAGCCAATGTCGATCCGCTCGTCGGCACGGGGCCACCGCCGGAGGCACCAACCACCAGCGGCTATCAGCGTGTAGAGCGGCGCAGGAGACAAGCCGAGCTTCTCAAGGCTGCTCGAGATATCCGCAATGGCAAGAGTAAAAGCACGGCTTTGAAGAAGAGGTTTTGGGATGACGTGCATGTGAAGGAGGTGGATGGTAAGTTTGAATATCAGGCAGACCCAGATCTAAGTACCTCAACTGGCATTGGCTGACTGTCTGAAAGGTGCTTTGCAAGTTCACCTCGATGAGCGTCCCCTTAGGCATCCTCTCACCAAGGAAATCGTCCGTCTTCCCGTGACAAAGGGATATCTCGCAGCTGCCCTCGCCCTCGAATGGGACAACCTGACATCAGTCCAAGAAGCCACCAAGCAGCATCTAATACCCTTAACGAGTCTTGTTTGCCGAGCCATCGATATCCAGGTCGACGATGCTTCCGACTCACCCGAAGCCTCAAAAATCCGCACAGCTATCGCTACGACCGTTATGAAGTACCTGGACACAGATTCACTTCTTTGTTGGGCACCACCTGCTGGGCCCTTTGATCTGAAGAATGACGCCGGAGAATCACTACGGGATGTCCAAAAGAAGACTGCCGACTCAATCGTGTCTTTCTTAACAACGAACACGTGGCCGGGGATCAAGATCGAGCCCGTCCTGGATGGCCACTCGATTGTTCCGCAACAGCAGAGCGAAGGTGTCCGAGAGGTCGTCCATGGCTGGGTCATGGGTCTCGACGCTTGGGAGATTACTGCCCTTGAACGGGCTGTTCTCGCGGGAAAGAGTTTTCTTGCCGCCGCTCGGCTTGTGGTAGAATGGAGTGAGGGCGCAGCTCGAGCTAGCGACCTTGCTACGGTTGGTACCTTTGGAGCCGATGAGGCTGCTAAAGCTACCAATCTTGAGGTTGACTGGCAGGCTGGCCAGTGGGGCGAAGTAGAGGATACACACGATGTCAACAACGAGGATGTCCGGAGACAACTCGGCAGCGCTGTTCTGCTCGTCTCTGGGGACGGAAAGTATTGAATTGGCTTGTATACTAAATGTCTAGATTGACACTTGTCCAAAAATGTACAGTAGCATAGAATCAACAAGATTTTGCATGGCTTGATTGTCATCATTATTTATTGACTCCCAACATAGTCTTACAAAAGGGGAATGAGATGGATATCAAAGCTTGATATGATTTAGTTCATACACGCCAAGAGACGATTGGAACAAAATCCTACACACCTACTCCTTCACGCACGATAAAACGAGGGGGCAAACTGGGCTCCACTGGGAAGAGACCCCTTTCGACCATGAATTCTTGGTCCTACGACAGGTGCCAACACCAATGACTGTTACAATTGTGATTCAAATCACGGGGCTCTTCGAGGAGCTGCTTCTTGAGATATTGCTTTGCAGCAAAGACAGCTTCGTGTTGGCGCGTGTCAGGACTCAGGAGGACCGATTAGCAGCAGCGGATCATCAGATCAAGGACCCGATTGGCAAGGTGCTAACTCTAATGGGCTATTCTTGTACTACTTGCAGGGGCCCAAGTCATGCATTGCAGCATTGGCGGAGGCGCGCGGAGTCCGACTTGGTTGGTTGTTTACTCGCACGGGTGGAGGATTTGATGACGACTGAGCAATCATGTCTGTCCAGTTGTCGGAAGACGAGAAACCTGCAGCTGCTGGATGTCCGAGCCTCCAATGGCATCTGCCGGGCGCACAACAGCAAGATCAGAGTCCGTGGCTGGCTTACGGAACTCGAGTCTGGCCCAATTTCGGAACCATCGAATCAGACAAGGTGGCTCAATGATCGGCGCCGTCCACGCAAGCTGACAAGCCAACAAGTCAGCCGCTGAGCCCGCAAAACTTAAACACTAAGCCTCCCTCCCCCTTGCAGCTCGCCCCATCTTCTGGCCCATCGACCCATGTCAGCCCCCTCGGCCGTCCAGTCACAGAACAGGGCAAGGGAGAGACAAGTCGCAGCTCCTCGGGAAGTGATGTACGGTCTCTTGGCGTCAACATGTGGTGGGGACAGGAAAGCTTTATCAAGATGGCTATGACCCCGGACTCTCCGCGATCCAACCGCCGTCCTGCCAGGATGCCTATTTGAACCGTTGCGTTTCCCTTGTTGGATCTCCCGCCACAAAAACAAACGTCTTCAATATGCGGTCGCTGGCACTAGGGGTCGTTTTCTCGCTGCTTGCTGGACAGGTAGTCGATGCCGATTTTGGCTTCCCAAAGGCGAAGCGAGGGGAGGGATTCCTCTCTGTGCCTATTGGGACTGTTGATAGGCCCCATTCCGCTAAGCGGGATACCAAGGCCATCGTGTCTGAGCTGGATAACAGGGAGTTTTTCTACACGACTGACGGTGAGTCACACTGATATGGGGATGGGATTGCCAGGCTATCGTGACCTTTCCATCCTCCCTCCCGCACAGATCGGGAGACACATGTCTGACATTGTTTTCGGTTGCAGTCGAGATCGGAAGCCCTCCCCAGAAATTGACACTTCTCGTCGATACGGGATCCAGCGAGCTTTGGGTAAACCCGGACTGTGCAAATGCACCTAGCGATACCCAAGTAGAACAGTGCAAAAGCTTCGGACGTTATACCCCGAAAAATTCCAAGACGCCGGCGGTTGGTCCCTTTGGGAACGAGTCAATCAAATATGGCGATGCCTCAGATAGCTCGACGCATACCAGCGTCAATCTGACATACTATGCCGACGATATTACACTGGGCGACGCGGTCATCAAGAACCAGACGTTTGGCGCTGTTGTCGCGAGCTCGGGGCAGTTTGCCGGCATCTTCGGGCTCGCTCCTGACATGAAGAGTGGATTCGATGGCAAGGAGCCCTACAGCCTGGTCCTCAATTCGATGCTTGACCAGGGGATTATTGCGGCTCGCGTCTTCTCCCTTGACCTGCGCCATTCGGAGTCCACAACTGGCGCTGTCATCTACGGCGGCATCGACAAGAGCAAGTTCATAGGCACCCTGGAGAAGCTGCCCACCATTCGCGGTTCGAGTGGAGAGTATCGTCTCGGCGTGTCGATTAACACCATGGGCATCACAATCAAGGGACAAAACTCCACCTATCAGCTTCTGGGAGACGATAAGAAAGTCATGTTGGACTCAGGAACTACCATCACCCGTCTACGTGAAACAGCAGCCAAGCCAATCCTCAAATCCCTGGGGGCTATACAAGACACCAATGGCTACTACCTCGTTGATTGTAAAAGACGAGAGGAAGCTGGCAGCGTCAGCTTCGGATTCGGAAACAAGACGATCGCTGTTCCCTTCAGCGACCTGATCATGGATTTCCAAGCGGCTGCTGGACTATGTGTAGTTGGTATTGTTCTCACCACTGACCAACAAATTCTTGGGGATACCGTCTTGAGAGCTGGATATTTCACGTTTGATTGGGAAAGCGAGTCTGTCCACGTGGCCCAGGCCGCCAACTGTGGAGATAATGACATTGTGGCCGTCAGCAAGGGAGACGACCCCGTGCCCAGCGTGACCGGTAACTGCCAAGAAAAGGATGCCCTTTTCACTGGTGGTCCGGTCTCAACATCCAGCCAGGCATCAGCAACACAAACCAGTAGTGGAAGCTCACAGGCCACCCAGTCAGGTGGCTCACAGGAGAACAGTGGGAATGGGTCTAGTAGTGACCAAGGTGCTGGAGCGCACGTCCAGGTTGTGGCTTGGACACTAATGGCAGCGGCTGGTGCTGGCTTTTTCATGAACTTGCTTGCTTAGAGAGCATATCACGGGATGCCCGTTTCTCACTGTATCCCCTGTACAAATAGAAAAATAGACGACACATAGATTGCATATATAATGACGCTTTTTTATCTGCAATGATCCTGGGACATTCTTGCACTTCTTGCTCTTCATATAAGTATCGTACTTTGGTTAAGAAATCTGCCTACTCACTTCGAAATGTGAGGATTTGAATTGATAAAGTTTGCCTACGCATCGTGTTCTCTAGATTGTTGTTCACATGCTTAGACGACCTGTGGAAATAGGTGCCCCTTCATAGCAAACCGAGTGTTTGGTACCTAAATGATGAGAAGGTCTTGAAGAGGGTAGATAATATTTTGAGATACGTGGCTTCGGAGTACCTAATGTTGATTGGCCATACCAAATCCGCCAAAGATCTCCTTTGAGTTCCTGATCATACCGGTTTTGGGAAAATCTAGGCCGCTATTAAGCTTGATGTTAAGAATCAACAAGTGCTGAATTGAAAGATGACACCCCGTTATTTAGACTTTTATTGTTTACTGGCAATAGCAGCCACGAGATAAGTAAACAATTCAATTCGCGGAAATTGTCCGAGTAATCTGTTTATTATTCGGTTTTTGATACTACTGAACTTCAATATCGCGTCTAGGTGAACGGCGTTTCACCTCAACTCATTTTTCATCCATAGGGATCCGAACGCTGAGTGCGTATGGACTTTGTAAGCACCACCCACACTTAGAACATTGTATCACATCATCTGCTAGGCTTCCCGGACACGGCCTATTTCCGATTTTTCGCAAAAGAGAAGTAGGCGTCGATAGAAGGTAGCGCAATCTATAAAGTTAGGGAATATACTGTCCCCTCATGTTTCTATCCACCCATCATTGATCTAAAATATCAAAGTCTAAATCCCAATATCCCAATTCTTCATAGCTTGTCTATTGCGAAAATGATTTGTACCCAAAACTTAAAACAGTCCATGCTCCCAAGAAACCACGGGTATATATTAGTTGTTCATCTGATTTCGCCATCTTCCTCTTTCAAGGCACGTATGGCGGCCTGTTACGTCCTACCCACGGCCCTGCTGGCCCGACCATTTCTGGCTTGAGATCTTGAATCTTGCTGACACCGATATTCCGCATGGTGCTTGCAATTTCTTCTTGGAAAACTGCTCAAAGGTAACACCCTCTAGTTAGCAATGATTCTACCATGTGCGGGGGCACGGCTTTTCTTGTCCAACGAAGAAAGGGGGGGGGGGACACTTACTGTTGATGACGCGCTTAACACCCTCCTCTCCATGTGTGCCATTCGCATACAGGGCCGGACGTCCAATTCCAACGGCTTTAGCACCCAGGGCAAGGGCCTTGACGGCATCAGCTCCAGTGCGGATGCCTCCATCGATCATGATTTCCACTTTGTCGAATAATTCAGGTCTTAATGATCGAACTTCATACAGAATATCGATTGGGGCGGGGGAGTAGTCAGCTTGGCGACCTCCGTGGTTTGACTAGAAGAAAGAAGCATGGTTTGTCAGTCTGTTTTGTTGTTGACGAGGGCTCGTTTTCACACCATTGGATATGAACGTACGAGAATAACGCCTTGCACACCGTGATCAGCACAAAGTTGGACATCCTCGACCGACTGGACTCCCTTGACGATGATGGGGAGCTTGGTGTTTTTCTTCAACAACTTCAAGTTAGCATACACTGACAAGGACAGACTTTTATTCCATCGCTTTGCAGAGATATTCGGTAGGAAAGGATAATAAGACATACCCGGATAAAGGCCAAATCGCTCCACGTAAGGTTGTAGTCCTGATATCCTGAGATGGCATGAGAAACAGAGGCGGGGGCCGGAGCGGCCGCGGCTGCGGCAGCTTCAGCCGGAGAAGGCAACTTGGCGCGGACATCCATGGTCCGCTTGGACTGCCACATGACGTCGACCGTGAAGACGATGGCCTTGGCTCCCAGCTTCTCTACTTTTTGTATGAGAGTCTCGGAGGCAGCCCGGTCCTTGTTGAGGTATAACTGAGAGAAACTCCTCGTTAGCACCAAGGCAGACGTGAAAAGAGCTTGGCTTCAAGGAAACAAACCTGGTAGATGAGAGACTGATCCTCTCGCTTGGCCTCGAACATTTCCTCAAGTCCACAACTGGCGTTGGCTGAGATCTGTTTCCCCACACGTCAATCAGTTTCATGAGCATCACAATAGTTTCCAAGGAGTTGCTTGCACCCACCATCTGAACAATTCCACACTCTCCAGCAGCCTTGGTCAAGTTGACTTCTCCAAGAGGGTGTCCGAGCTTCGCCATTGCGGCGGGCGAGATGAAAATCGGTACACTAGTAGGGATGCCCATAAAGGTCGTCTCAGTAATGCCTTCGGTGGAGTTCTTCTGTAGAATGCGCGGGCGGAAGAAGTATCGGCGCAGGGCATCGCGGTTCTCAGTAAACGCTACAAGCGCCATTGTCAGCACAAAACGTCTTGCGCCATCCACAAGGGCAGCAAGAAACTCACTCATCTCCTCATCAGCCGCGCTCCGATAGTACGCCCAAGCAGTCTCGCTCAACACCTTCTGCGCCCAGTCCTCAAAGTCCTGCACCATGACCATGTTCTCCGCGGGGGGCATGTTCTCCCGGGCCTCTTGCCGGAGCTGCTCAGCCTCCGAGAGCTCCTCCTCCTCCTGCGCCGGCAAGGTCTCCGGGTCCACGGGTCCTAGGCAGTACTCTGTCGGGAGGGTCCCAAGGGCGTCGGGCGGGTGAAGCATGGTGAACAGCTTGCTGGCGTCCTTTCCGGCTTGCGCCACTATGGCCTGGACACCTCCGGGGTGCAGTTGAAGGAAATCAGTCACATCGTATACATAACCCTGCAAGTACGATCATCTTAGTACGTCTACGGCCGCCTAGAACGGATTGCAGTGTCACTAACGTTTATGATTACCCAGCAGTCTTCGGCCGAGGTATGCTTCTGTACTTCATCGTATGAAATCAACGCTGAGCCAGCGGCGGTGTCGCTGGTAGAGCTATCGAGGAAATGAAGTGTGGGGGGGTGTAGAAGTTGTGAGGATGTTGCAATGGCCTGGAGGAGTTCAGTCAAGGTTAGCAATGGAACCATGTTCACCATTGGCAAAGGCGACAAACTAGAACTGCGAACGCGGCCAATGCGGATGTGAAGCTTCTTTGAGACTGATTGGGTCCAGCTCGGCTCTCAGAAGCAGCTGGGCGCGTGAATCTAGGTTGTGTGGTGGTGAAATAACGAGATGGCAAGGCTCGCGATTGCGGAATTGATGCGCCTCTGGGCCTTCGGAGGAGGGGCAGAGCCGTCTTGAAGCTCGAGGAAGACAGGCGTAATGCCATCCTGGCTGATTGTGAAGGACGATTCGGTCTAGGAGCTGTTACGAGAGGGATTGGGCGAAAGAATCCTGGAGAAGAGAAGGAGAGAAAGGGAATAAGAAAAAAAAACTACAACTTCGTCATTTCACAGAGATCGCTGCTGGACTAAGCATTCATTCAATTGGTGGAATATCGTCCCCATCTCACGCCAACGACAAATAGATTAACGGTTCCTAGAGGATCTGTGCCATGGGGAAAGCCCACGATATCCCGAAATCGGCAATTGCTCGATGTCTCGTCCGGCGATTGGGGCAAGGCTCTGCCGGGGGCGATTTCCCTTTTGATCCGACCAGGCGCTGGCCGCCGGAGAAAAAAGCCCAAGATCCGAATCGGAGAAGCACGTGAGAGATCCGATTCGGAGATTTGGATCGATTCCCTCTGATCTTATGGAAAGCGGCTTGTCTGAGGAAAACTGTCTGGCTCTCGGGTCCTGTCTGTAGATGTTTCGGCTCCTCTAATGCGGTTTGGGAGCCTTGAATGAGATCAGCCTGTTCTTTTCCTGAGACTTCTCTATTCGTTGGTCCCGGAGACTTACTCCAAATCTGTGTTTTTGGGGATTTTGCTGCTGACTCATGCAGCCGGCAGGCTATCCCAATCAGGCAAGCGTCGGCGAAGCTTTGCGACATCTCCCCGAAGTGCCGACTACTCATGGTTGCTTCGTGTATAACGGGACAAATACTCAATAAACATTGGATCTCTCCAATTGTTTGTTGTTGATTGTGCATTTGGCAAATAAAATAATCCTGTGATACTAATTGACGAAAAGACGAAAAACAAGAGGGATCTTTCTCCTCCCTTGACCGTCACCTTGTTCCTCTAATGGTCACTGGATTTGCAAAGGTGCCAAGGAAGACAGCACCGATACATAAAAATACAAGGGAGTTTCTAGGGGCTTGTTCTTGATATGAAACCCTCGGTTCGTAATCATAGCTATCTATTTTTTGCATGTCGCCTCAGTATAAAGTGGTGGCCTCGATATAGCCAATATGGCGAATTGGAGATGAACTAAACGTAGTTAAAGAGGTACTTGCAACACCACCAAGCAGTTTGAATCGATGTAAGTCAATTGCTAACTCTATATTGAACCGATGCTTCGCTATACGACATATAACTAGCCAGAAAACATATATGCAACCCAAGCCTCAAAAACGATACTGCTCTTACAGTTTTGGCCCCTTGGATCTTTGTGTATCCTTCTCAAGGTCGCGGAGCATCCTTCTCAATATTTTGCCGCTTGCGCTCTTTGGAATTGTCTCGATAAATTCCACGCCTCCTTTGAGCCACTTATGCCTGGCTTTGTGGTCCTCCACATGCTTGCTGATACTTGCAATTGCCTTCTCATCAGATTGTCTCTCCCCTTCTTCGGATCTGACAACAAAAGCCTTGGGGACTTCGCCTGCACGGGGATCTTGAACCTGAATAACAGCACAGTCGGCCACGAAAGGGTGAATTAGAAGATGAGCTTCCAGCTCTGCTGGTGCCACTTGATGACCCTAATATAGACGTTAATATCTCCTCTACACAGAGCATTGCCCGGTGTGGGGGGTAGGGGTTTACATACGTTGACCTTGATAAGTTCCTTGATGCGGTCGACAATGAAGAAATGGTCATGCCCTTGCTCCGACCGACGGACCAGAACCTCATCGCCCGTCTTGAGCCACCTCCCATCCTCGTGCCACACGAAAGTCTCGGCATTGGCCTTTTCATTGTTGAGGTAGCCGATCACCACGGCAGGGGACTGGACCAGAAGCTCACCGCGCTTGTCGTATCCGAGCACCTCATTGCCGTCTGCGTCTATAACCTTCGCCTTGAAGCCCGGGATAAGAGAGCCCGACGAGCCCACCAATACATCCAGCTCGCTGGTGCTGGTGATGAGCGGCGATGACTCCGTCATGCCGTAGCCCTGCACGACGTGCCACCTGGGGTACTTGCGCAGAATGTCATACGTCAGCTCGCTCCCCAGCGGAGCCGCGCCGCTAAAGACCATCCTCACGCTGCTGAGGTCGAACTTGTCGCACTTGGCCTGGTTGGTGATGATCTGGATGAGGATCGGCGGCACCACATCAAGCTGCTCGATTTTGAATCGCTGGACGGCCGCGAGGAAGGCATCCAGGTCGAACCGCGGGAGGACGACCACCTCGTCGCCTCTGTAGCAGGAGACCAGGCCGACGAGGACCAGGCCGTAGATGTGGCTGAGAGGGAGGACGCCGAGGACGACCTGCGTCTTGACCCCCAGCTTGTCTCTGGCGACTCTCTCGAACAGTTCCATTTGGATTACATTCGCTATCACATTGCGGTGTGACACTTTGACGGCTTTCTATTACACGAGGGTATGGTGAGCTTTCTACTGGACCAGTGGTAGATCCTCAGATGAACGGCATTTGAAATAAAAGATTGAGTCAAAAAGTGCTTACAGGTAGCCCTGAAGTTCCGCTCGAGTAACTCAGGAAGGCCGTTTGCCTAGACCCTTGCCCCTTAACCCATCGGAGCGGCTCGATCGCCGGGTGACGCTCCCCTTCGATAATGAGGTCGTCGACAGTTTTGAAGGGGAGCTTCTCGGAACTGAAGCCAGGAACCGGCAAGAGGAACACGGCGTCTTCGGGGATGCCGGCAGCCTTGGCAGCCTTGAGGGCCGTCTCGAGAAGAGGAACGCAGGTGAAGATGCCCTTGGCGCCTGATGAGCGGAGCTGATGCTCCAGCTCGGGCGCCGAGTAGGCGGCACTGGCTGGCGTGACTATGCCATTGCATCGATGGACTGCCAAAGCGAATGGGATGTAATCGATCTAGCTCCCCGATAGTTTCATTTAGCTCAGATTGAGTCACGATGGGAAACGCAGGTGCTGTGTTACCGTATTCAGGGAAAAGATGGCCAGGACTCGGTCCCACTCGGTACCCTCATCTAGGTTGAAAGAGAAGCGAGTCCGGATCGCGCGCGCCAGATGCTCTGTCCGTTGGCTGGCCTCTTTGGCCGAGTATGTTCTGCCCGTCAGGCCGCATGTGAAGGGGTTCCTGGATGCATTGATGGCATGGCGACCATGCTTTTCGTTGCTCAGAAAGTCTTCAAGGGAGATGGAGTCGGGAATATCTGGGCAACCGGGCAGTTAGAAGAGCCGCAGGTACAGCATGATAAAAGGTCTGAAAGACGTCATTGTATGGGGAGCTGCTTACGAGGTAAGTCTGGCACCCAGCTGGGTGGATAAAACACCATGGCTGGAGAAGAGGGCAGCGTGAGCTGAAGGGAGTTTAGGTGAGACGGTGTGAATTTAGGCAAATGAAAGACAAGATGATGAAAACTTGGATGAATATGCCGGGGCTAACAGATGAAGTGAGATGAGATCGGGAGGGTCTCAGGGGTGCTCCTTGGGACAGGCTGGCGAGTCAGAACGGTTAATTAAGCACGTCACACACTACTCAAATAATACTACATAATACTAATACTCCCTATACACTGCTTTCATAACAGAAGGCTGGGACTAGCCCCGGAGTTTCTTCACAAACGGGAATGGCGTCCGGGGGGCTTCCTCTGGTTGGAGACGCAGCCAATCAACACCCCGGTCTCCTGGCTGAAGAATGCGGGGAAGTCTCAGGCGGTTGCTAGTGCTTCTCAGCAGTGATATTGCCTGTAATAAACCGTTGTTATGAGGGGCCCTTCATCGGGGATAAGCCGAGGTTGAGTTGGGCTCACTCAAGATCGAGGAGATATCTCAAACACTCAATACAATTGACAGAATCATTTTACTATAAAGATATGTTTGCATATAAGTAATCTTACATATACAAGACTTGGTATTTTATATCTCTGCTGTAAGAGCGGTCCTTCATGTCAAGGTCCACTTACACTCCAGATCGATGAGCAGGGTGTGTGTTGAACAATCGGCAAAAAAATAAAAAAAAAATCATAAATCCTTAAGTTGACGGTGAAATTATTAAGTTATTCGACCATACTTTCATTCATCTTACATACAGCAGGGCCAACTCGAAATTGTGTAAACATTATTCTCAGATGGAGATAGATTAGGTGATATTAACATATCCTAGTTGAACAGCAGGGGATCTTGAACGAAGCTGATAGTGAAACTTCTTCAATGTAGTTTATGGGGTTAACAGTAGAGCCCTCCTTTCAAATGCAATTCAAAATTCATCTCATTTTCTATCTATGCTTTCTGCGCCGACCTAAACCATATCGTGTACTGCTCAATCGCCGCCTGCATTTTCTTGGTGCCGGCTTCCATAACCGCCGTGATGGGCTTCCCCCGCGTCTCCTCCTGCGATGCGGCGTAGTGGTTGTTCATGCCCTTGTTGATGTTGATCTTGACCACGCCGGCCTTGATACACCGGTCGTAGATCTCGGGCGTGAAGGGGTCCGCGCCGTGCAGAACCAGCCGCACCCGGTCACCCACGGCTTTATGTACGGACTCGAGGCGGTCATACTCGAGGATGATGCCGCGGGGTCCGTACTCGCCGTGTACGTTTCCAAAAGCAGGCGCCAGCATCTCGATACCCGTCGCCACAAACTCCTCGGCTTGCTCGGGCGTCGTCAGGACGCCCTCCAGGTCGATCGTCTCAGCGACGCCGTCCTCTCCTCCCTCGATCCGGCCGGGCTCGGCCTCGGTGGCGATCCCACGCTCGTGGCAGTAGGCCACGAGCTCCTTGGTCAGCGCCAGATTCTCCTCCTTCTCGTAGTGGCTCATGTCACACATGATGCTGTCAAACCCATCCGGG